GAACTGTACAAATTTAACATAGGATGGCAGGGAAAGGCCTCCCCGACGGGATATATACACAATTTTTTACTTATTGTCTTCTAGGATTTCGCTGGAAGTGCTGTTATACCGTACATGTTTTAGGCGGAACATTAGCACTGGTTGGTGCGATAATGCTAGGTCCGCGTATCGGTCGTTTTTACGCTGACGGAAATCCAGTAAGATTCATGGATATATCGTACTAGTACGTGTACTAAGGAATTGATATTACAACCAAGTAAAAAGAACGTCATTTTGCATATTGTTCTCATTAATTATTACTAATTAAAATATCAGATTTACGATATAAGCGTTTCAAATTATTTACATTTATTATAGGCTCGCGCTCAAAGCAAATATTTTTGGTGAATTAAATAAAAATAATTCCGATTACCAATGTTTGTTTTTATCATTTTTTTCAGTAGCTAGCTGCGTTGGGTGGACTTATTCTCTTTCTTGGATTTCTCGGATTCAACGGCGGTTTGCAGGGACTCATCTCCAACCCTGGGGGCGGCGTTGTCGTCGCCGAATTAATCGTCAACACTATCATACTATCCGGAGGTGTTTCGGCGTTGTGCGCCCTCTTCATCAACCTCAGATGTTACAAGAAAAACATGTGGAGTTAACTTACAGCTATAAATGGAGGACTTACTGGAATGGTAATCACATTTAATTATTCAATCTTAAATTTTGATTTGATTTGGTTTATTCGGTTCCATAAAACATTACATAAAACAAGCATGCATACAAATACATGGTACAAGTTAAAATAAACACTCTTTAAAATATTACAGAGCAGTGGCGCCATAGGCGCTTACGGGGCAAGTGCCCCGGGGCCGACAGGAGCCCGGGATGCTAGATAAAAAAAAATACATAAAATAAATATATAAAAGTTATTAAACGTATATATTCGTCCAGTATCATTCATATGTTTTTCACAACACTTGTAAATAAAGTTGATCGTTTATCGACGATGAAAGCTCCTCATCAATCGCTTCCAATACTTTTTCATTAATATTTTCATGACCTACTATTCTGGAGTGTTTAAAATGTTTACAGTGTATCAAATAGTAGGCCTATTATTATTTGCGTCATTAATTGATAATTATTAAACGCTTGGACCCTGGACATCGTCAATATACATAAAAGTTGATATATATAGAATATACATAGAATTTGTTTGTCAAATAAATACTGAATTAATATATAAAACCAGTGGTGGATTAAAGGGCGCCCCCCCCCCTCCCACATTTCTCAAAATTTAACAAAAATTATTGAGGAAAAAAGAAAATTCTACTCAAATTTTAAGTCAGTGCTATTTCTGGCCATCCAGAGGTGCCATAATAATAATAATAATACATTTTCTTGCCTCAGCCCTAATCATGGTGGGGCTGAGGTAGACAGACCCTCCATCTGTGAAAGTCCTTCTATGGGCCCTCTATTTCAAATTCCTGGATCCGCCACTGTAAAATTTGATATGTTATGAATCTTTTCAGCTTTACGTTTCAATAAAAGGAAGGATAGCTTTTCTTGTTCATGTTTCTATACTTTATTTTTCATGACCTGTTGAAATTAGGATGATAATGATAATTGATTACTATCAAATCAATCTTTTAACACAAAGCTAATCATCTAATTGGAAACCGAATCCCGAGACCACCCCAGATTTTCATGTTCCAAACGTGGTCTCGAATTGGAGAGCGAACTGTACTATAGTTTCCTCTCTGTTCACTTGTTACTTGTGAGTAGGATATATAACATGAACTATCTGTATCGATGATTGGTGTGACCTGGCCTTAACTGTGCGTGTTTGTCTGCAGTGCGTCAGATGACGATCGAAATCAACATCATCATCATTAAAAATATCAACATCATAATTAACACCAACAGTGGCGAGTTGGATGGCCGAGCGGTTATCGTTAAGGTAAGGGTTCCTCAACCTTCTGCCAAAATCGGCGCTTGATTGAACGGCACGCTCGCCTATGGTTAAACAAGTCTTCTCGGATAAGGAATATAAACCTGTACACAGTTTGGCTCGTGTGTAGACCTAAAAGCACCCAGTACATTTTTCGAGACGAGCAGGGTGTTACCCCGGTGTACTGTTGTCCATACACTAGTCCCTGTACCTGTCTCTTATACACATCTAAAATTACCAGAAATGAAGTTTGACTTCCCTATGTAGACAGAAATTAAATGTTGTTTGGTTTTATTCACATTATGGCACATATCGTAGGCCATCAGTACTTAAATCTATGCAGATTTTTGTTTTAAGTACCGTTTAAAATAAAGATTTTGTCAACATACATTTAAATCTACAATGCTGGTTTATAATACTAGCTGAATTACAAATCAGGAGCATTTATGAATCTCGCTTTAACAAAGCAATAAAAATTACTACTTCGGTCTACATCAACTATATTGCTTATTTTCTGTGCATGGATGATTCTAATCCTTGACAGCCTATGATCAGAGATCAATGACCTTTGTCAGGACTCAACCAACATCTGTAACCTTGTGAATAAGCTTAGTGCATACTTCTTTCAATTAATAATTATTAAAGAGAAGGTGGTTTACAAGGGCAGTTCAGATTGTTGTTCACTTTGATTTTTGCACCTGATGTCTAGTTTTATACATTACATTGTCCACTGCATTTTTTTTAATATTTTTTTTTTTATAAGAACACATTCATTTTATAAGAGCATTGAGGCTGAAATTGCCAAAAAATAAGAACAAAATAAGAACAAATTGAAACTGGGGCAAAAGGTCAAATGAAGTTTTATTTTTAAAAAAATTAGAAATACCAACATCTTATCCGTACCTTATTTACAATAGGTGTTACTATTTAATACCCTCTAATACAGAGCAGATACTGCTGGACAACCATAATTTTCTGCATTTGCAAAATGTGTAAAACTGTAAGAACAAAATAAGAACATTTTGAGCCTGAAATAAAAAAAATAAGAACGCTGAGCCTGAGCAAAATTTTACTGGTTCTTATATAGGAAAAAATTAACACCTGACCTGTTTTCCATTAAAGTGTTTTAATAGTTGTTCAGTACCAATACTATTAGTTTGTCCTGTCTACTGTAGTATAAAGAGTTAATTTACTCTTTTTACACTACTGTACTTTAAGTGTAAATATCTTCTGGGGTTGTTCACAATTATCAACATTTTCACACGTGTACAGTACTCTTTTGGTACCCTCTCCCTCCCCTCTGAAAGTGTACAGTACAAAAAGTGTTGATTTTGCATTCTCCATTCTTTAGTGAAGCCAACTAAAGCAATGCACTTTGGTTGCTTAAAAATAAATATTGTATCCATGGTTACATTATAATTACCATTATTTTACATATTGCATGTTATTTAAAATCAACATTTTTATGCATGTAAAGTGTACAAATTTGTCTACCCACTCCCCCCTAGCATACTGTTTGTACACTTGTGAAAATGTTGAACCATCCCTTACTTGATTTAAGGGTGTACGGTAAGAATGGCCCCGGAAAAAATGGCCCAGGAAAAAATGGCCCCGGTAAAAATGGCCCCGG